CCCCAAAACCCCAAAACCCCAAAACCCCAAAACCCCATAAAACTTATTATTTTAATTTCTTTTATTTCATTCTAATCCCATTTATAATGTGGCCTTTTTAAGTAGAGCTCAATTGAAGCCCACCTTTCTTGGGGCTCTTCAGGCCAGGCTTGAGGACTGAAAAGATTTAGTAGTGGAAAGTGGGATTTTAGAGAGATGTGAGGTGAGGGAATATGTGTTTGAAAGTTTTGAAGTTATAAAAAAGGAGATTATTCAGGGTTCTCAGCTGATGCAAAAATACCATAGTTTTTAATATCCTTCTCGAATTTATCCATGAGATTGTTGATTTTTGTCAGGACAGAGTCAATCTTTTTGTGGAATCGATTTGGTTTTTGGAATGATGCGTATTCGTCTCAATGATTACTGGAGTCTTCTTTCCGAAAGTAGATTTTATAGTCTTCATCATGATTATTAATATTATGTATCTTTTCATCATCAAACCACTCGACTCTCTTTCCGTCTTCCCAGAGTCCATATCTCTCTTTCTTCTCTTGAGGGATGACATATCGACCAAGTCCATGTTGTTTACCTTGGGCCCAGTATCCTTCATATTTCCTGCCATCAGCCCAATAGTAAATACCATATCCGTGCTTATTTATCTTCTTTGTATTGTCCTTCATACTTTCTGCCATCTTTCCATACATATTCTCCATATCCTTCCATATTATTGTCTTTCCATTCTCCTTTGTACATTCTACCATCTAGCCATGAATAAATTCCAATTCCTGAGATTTTATTTTCAACCCATTGTCCAATAAATTTACTTTGATCATTCCAAATATAAATACCAAAGCCATGCTTTTTGCCATTGAAGTATTCCCCATCATAGATACTTCCGTCATTCCATTTTTCAACACCTTTTCCATGTTGGAGATCTTCTTTCCAGTCTCCATCGTAAGTAGCACCATTTTGGTGTCTGTAAATACCTCTTCCATTAGCTTTGTCGTTAGCCCAATCTCCTTCATAAACATCTCCATCTACATGGATAAACTTTCCTTTTCCATGAGCTCTATGAACAAGGGTAAATATTTAGAGAAGATAGGAATTGTAATTTAGATTCTTACCTGTTATAAAGCCAGTCTCCTTCGTAGCTAGCACCATCAGGCCAGGTTTGGATACCAAATCCATCCCTGAAACCACCTCTCCATTCTCCTTCATATGTAGCACCCGTTTTGTAATGGTGTTTATCTCTTTTCTCTCTTGGCTGACTTGGATCAAATTTTACCTTAGAAAGTGTTTCTCTGCTCTCATCCATTTTGAAGTATCTGCTACCATCTCTTATCTGGGTTTTCATGATCTTGAACTGCTTTCTAGCAATATTTCCTCTCCATATAGCCTGAAGTTTGATTATAGATCTAATATTATCTTTCAGTAATTTATCTGTCATCTATATTTTGTGTTAAGAAAGGTTAGAGAGCTATTAAGGAAGATATCCTGAAGTAATATTAGAGAATTCTAACAGATACAGGCCCAAATTCGCTTTATGTATTCTTCAACCTGATAAGAAATCTGTTCTGTGTCTTACCTCTTCTTCAGAATATACTTTCCTTGTAGTCGTTTGCTGTCTTCTTCTATTTTTATAATCTCTTCTGCTATTCTGGCCAGGAACTGGCTGATGAGAATCCATTTTCATCTCAGTCTTGTTCTCTTCAGAATCAGTGCAGCAATAACTCTTTCAATTCCCCATTTATAATTAATTTTTTCATATTTCAAACTTTTCTTTTCTATAAGGGGTTTTGGGGTTTTGGGGTTTTGGGGTTTTGGGGTTTTGGGGTTTTGGGG